CAAGGGGACCTTCATGTCAAAGGAGCAACAGACCTTTTTTTTTTTTTTAAGATTTATCTTTATCCTTTTTTTATTGGAAGTTCAGATTTACAGAGAGAAGGAAAGACAAACAGATTTTCTGTCCACTGGTTCACTCCCTAAGTAGCCGCAACGGCCAGAGCTGAGCTGATCTGAACTTCCTCTTTGTCTCCCATATGGATGCAGGGTCTCAAGGCTTTGGACCATCATCTACTGCTTTCCCAGGCCACAAACAGGGAGCTGGATGGAAAGTGGAGCATCTGAGACAGGAACAGGCACCCATATGAGATCACGGCAGATTTAAGGCAAGGATTTAACCACTAGGCTATCACGCCAGGCCCCGGAGCCAGTGATGTTTCTAATTCAGCCAAAAGGATGGATACTCTCGGTCACCTCTACATACACTGCCACCTGGTTACTGAACTAATACACGGCTGCATGGTGGACGGTGGCAAGAAGCCTTCTGTAAGGCTCACTCTGCATGAGAAGTCCGCTGGGCTACCCCTCCTAACAGACAGCTCCTTCCTCACTCCCATATTCCAATACTGTGAGAGAAAACAAATCAGCCAGCACCCAGGTGGAGATGCCAGGAGTACACAGCCCTGAGTTAGTGTCTTCAACATCATCCCATTATAATCTATGTAAGCACTGGATTGGATTCTCACTGTCCATGCCTCTTCCTGGGAGGACTTTGTACTTCTTGCCCCGGGTAGTCATGCATGCTCATTAATGAGGCACCTTTGTTTTGTCTTCCTTTTCTCATGACCTTACAAATACTATTCTTTATACCTTGAGTTTTTTTTATTACTTCTTTAAGGATTTGCTTATTTTTAATGGGAAGGAAAAATTACAGAAAGAGAGTAAGAGACAGAGACTTCTCTCATCTGCTGGTTCATTCCTCCAATGACCTTAACAGCAAGAGCTGAGCTGGTCCGAAGCCAGGAGCCCAAGCACTTGGGCCATCCTCCACTGCTTCCCAGGCCATAAGCAGGGAGCTGGATGGGAAGTAGAGCAGCTAGGACTCAAACCAGCACCCAAATAAAACTGGCACCAAAGGCAGAGGCTTAGCTGCAGTGCCCCCTGCACCAGTTCCTATGACATGAATTTTAATTCCTTGTTACAAAAACATGCCAAGTGGAACTTGGAATGATATTTTTGGACTCTTCTTCCTGACTAGGATTAGTGGAGGCCAATAGGCTGGCCTTGCAGAGTAACATGTATAGCTACACTTACAGCCAGGCAGCCAGCCAATACACAAATACTGATTAAGCAAGTCTGTGTGTAGGATATGAAACTATACACTGGGGGTACTTTAGAGGAACAGCAGCCCTGTCCTCCAACATCATACCTTTCATGGAACCCACCCAAGGCCAGAAGGAAATGCAGCCACGTGACCTCCAAACCATAGCAGGGAAGAGCCCTTGGGCCCCTCTTCAATTTACAAATCAGACTTACCCTAGAGGTAGCTCTAATTTAATTTACAAACAGAATTCCCAGGAGAAATCCTCAAAGGCGTGTTAAAAGAGGGTCTAAAATGATAGGACAGGTAAGATTTATAAATGCCAGAATGGTACCAACTAGACAAGCACAGAGCTATATTCACCTCCCAAGGCCTCCGGGAAAGGAGCCGAGATGAGACTTAGGTGGCAAGGACTGGCAGAACCGAAGGACACATGAACTGTAGTGCTGTTTTCTTTCTGTTCTTAATTCTCCTCTAGCATTTTAATGTTACCCAAGTTTGCTTGGTAATGTCAGCACCATTTTTTCTTCTCCTAGCTACAATCATTATCCACCACATGGTCGACACACTTAGTAGAAGTGACATATGTGTAAGTTCTTTCCTCTGTTCACAGCAAAGCCAGGAAACCCCTGAAGCACTGGTGTTATCTGTCAAATTATGAAAGGGAAAATGCAGGAATGGCAAGGTTCAGAACTTTTCAACTTTTTTTGTAGCAAAGAAGTCACATGATTATGGTAAATCTGCTAAACTTAACAATTGATGGTCCAACAAATAACCACATTAAAAAAAAAAAAACCACAAACCTGTTGCTTATAAAAGCCATAAGGACTCTATATGCCAGATGGAAACATACAAACCTACACTTCTAAACAGATCTCTCACTCCAAGTAGAGAGACACATATATTTCCATTCATTTATCCAGTTAAAAATCACATACATACAATATTATGAATGATTAAGAAGGTGCACATTTAGAACATCACCACTGCGTGTAAAGTAACAGAGCACTTATATATAAAATACTGTGCTTACCCCTAAAATACATTTGGCAAAATACTACCACAAAATGTAGTTGATACTGAAATTGATTTTCCTTAGCAAAATAGTTATTATCAAATTCTTCAGTTACAATGTGCCTGCAAAGCAGATTTCCGCTCAATATGTGTATCTGCCTGTTACAGAATGAAAGGAGTGGCTGCACAGCAGGTGAACGGTTCTGCAGAGCAGCTCCCAGGCACAGGCACCTGAGGCAGCCCACAAGCGCTCAACAACGCGGGGACTATTGGGGCTGACAGACATGCACATTTCACGTGGGAGTTAAGCCACTTACTCCTACTGCAGCAGTCTTTTCCTGTTCTTCACAATCAAAAACAAAAGATTAGATACCATCACTTATTTCTCCTGCTGAGGAAAATAATACATTCTTTTTAATGCAGGAGACAGGAAATGTTAAGAGTTTGGCAGCGGGGGGAGGGGTACGCAAAAGGATAGTGGTCATATTAAACGTTGTTCAAGGCAGGCATCATTTCTGGAAGATCCTTTTCATTTCATTCCAGATGCCAACTTTCCCACTAGGGAGCCACGTCTGCTATCAGTGTTCTGTGTGCTATCACCACCTCCTCCACGTGGGCACAGGCAAAGATCACAGCTCTGAGTTGAAAGCTGCGCTATGTGTTGAATGCCACACTGTTTGCAGGCAATACCTTACCATCAGTCAGAACTTCCATGTCTAATGTTCTGGGGGCCACCAACACAGACCCTGGGCAGGACATGAAGATTATGACCAACACCACGTACAATCACACCCTGACCATGACCTGTTAAGTCCTCACCACTATGGCAGCACACAGACCCCGATCAGGTTAGCCTAAAATGCTCGCACCTTAAGTGGCTATTTGAAGAACTGCTCCCTGCTTTCAGCACACACTTAGGCAGGTTTTATCAAAAGAAAAGTTAAAGAACTTGTCACTTTACTTAGCGCTATATCTGGGGAAACAAAATTGTGATTCTAAGTCACACTTGGATGTGACATGCAAGTTAAGAGTATGAGCTCAGAAGCCGGAAAGTTTGGGTTTGATTTCCAACTTTCTTTCATTTACGAGACAAGTGGCCTCTTGCTCCCTCTAGCTCAGCTGCCTCATCAGAACAGGGAGATGAGAACTCTACAGCACAGAGTCAGTGATTAGACAAGATAACATAAATGCAGGGGTAGGGACACTGTCTGATACACGGAGAGCTAGCTCTTAGTAAATACTAGTTACTATTCTAAAACCAAACAATGGTGCTTAACCCTGTACCACAGGTACTGTCCTGCTGGCACAGCAGATTAATACATTGCTTGTGATGCTGGCATTTCTCATCAGTTTGCTCAGGTGCCAGCTGCTGCACTTCCTAGCCAGCTCCCTGACAACGCAAGGCAGCAGAAGATGGCTCAAGTACCTGAGCCCCTGATACCCACATGGAAAGACCCTGAAGGAGTTTCACGCTCCTCCTGTCAGCCTCACTCAGCCCCGAACACTGAGGCCGTTTGGTCAGTGAACCGCCAGAGGAGAGATCAAGATAGAGTTAAACGGCTGGGATTTTCAGACCCAGCACTTCAGTCAGAACCAAACAGGAACCAAACAAGAGACAGCAACATTTTCAGCAGAGAAAGGCAACAAGCTGTCCCAAGGAACTTGGCTTCCCATGTTTTGGAAGCACAGCACACATCCAACTTCTATTCATTTCCTGAGTCTCAAATCTGAGAAGTATCTGCTAAAACTTCAGTGACCATCTTTATTTGGATGGCTTGCCTCCCAAATACAGTTTAAATAATGAAGAACATGAATGCAAAATGAAAGGCATTTTGATACCTGAAGCAAACATTTGATTCAAATGGAGTAATCTGAAACAATGCCCCTTCCATTAATATTTTAGATTCCACTGCATCTAAAATGGATGGATTTCTATTTGAATGGATTTGGGGAAAAAAACTATGATATTTTTGGAATTTGGCAGCATCTGTGCACATTAATAAATAAAATCAAATTTTTTAATATCAGATTTTAGAGTATTTACAGAAAAGAACCAAAAAGCAATTAAGGAGCACAATATGAACTTCACCTGATGTCTGACAAAGAAGTAGAGACAGCTAGCTAAGGAAAGAAGAAAAAACTTCTCCAGATTTATATTTTATATTTAAGTGCATCACCGTGGGTATTAAACATGCTGCTAGCTATCTGTTAATGAGCACCTGAGCTGTCATTCTTAATAACAGGCTGACAAGCATAATCTGTAAGTTGATATTACCCTGAAAATCATTTTTTGCAGTGTTTAAATTAATGCAGTTAAGAATAGAAGCTGACTATTCCACTTATTAAAAAGTATTATAATGCACAGTATTATCAAAATAACATAAACACATATTTTTGCTAACAAAATCACAGATGCCAAAATGCACATTCTCAACTTGCGGCAAGCTGAACAGAGTACGAAATCTGAATAGCGCATCTCAATCACTCATTGTTTGAAAAGGTCACTTCACCTGCTGAAACACTGTGAGGAAAACACTATCCACAACCGAGCATAATGAAACAAGCCAAATCAAAGCAGGGTACGAGATGAACACCACAAAAGCTCAAATTACCCAGGCATACACACCATTCACACAGAACACAAGTGATCATACAACAAACTCTTGGGAGTCACAGGATTCTGAAAACCCCACTTTATGTCCAAATACCAAAAAATGAAAAAGAATACCTCTTCTACAAAGCTGTCCTTCTTCTCCAGCATCTCTCGTAATGTCTGAAGGATCTTAATGCACAGTTTTTCTTCTTTCTCCATTAGTTTCTTCGTGTGATTAATCAGCCTTAAAGCAAATATTACACTTTAAGTAGGACAATGATTTCTCTTCAAGTGACAAGAAATTCTACAGAAAGCATTTGAAAATAGGAAGTAAGCCAGATACTCATGCCCAAATGTTTTTAAATTGTATTTCAGCTATAAACCCTGCATTACCAAACATCCTCTTTGTCTTATAGGTAATATATACCGGTGTTTCTCAAATGTTGATGAGATTCGTTTAGTGGGACCTAATCTTCTCCAAAAACAATAAGAGTGATGCTCTCCACATCATGTGCTTTGCTAGTAGAAAATTATGAATATGTGTAGTACGTGCATTTCATTATGTTACATACTATATACCTTCCATGCACTCTATTGGATTACTTATACGACTGCAGTGGTGTCACACGACATTGCCACCTTAGCCTGGCAGGCAGCGTTCCAGTCCCCACTAACTGTAATATGCTATTTTTTCCGTGCTGGGGCTTGAAAGAAACAGGCAGTTTCTGCAATTAGGAATGACACAAACAAAACAGTAACATCAACACAGTCTATAGATTTATTATTTTTGTTAGTCTGGAGACAAACTACTCTTAAGGGGTAAACTGGTGTTGTGCTAGGAAACGCACTTCAGTATCACTGTTCTGTGACATCAACAGGAACTCAAAATTGAGTCAGATGTTCACAGTCACAATTTACAACTTGGAATATGCAGCATGTGTTTTTAAAAAATGGGTCCTCAGAACACACCCATGGAAGGTCTTCCTCAAACAACAATGATGCAGAATAAAAGGCAATGATCGAATACAGTGATGTAATAAGCACTGTGGGACACAGCCCTGAGAAAGAGCGAGGTGTACTGCCAATGGCTGGCAAGTGCCCATCAGCATCAGGGTCAACCAACCTCAACAGCCAACCAAGAAGCAGACGACTCTGAGAGGAAGTAGCTTGCCTGTAGCTATGCAATATTCGGAGCTGGGGGGGGGGGGCAAGGGGGCGGGAAATGAATCTGGGGACACCTCACACCCACCTGCCTTGAGAGCCAAACCTATCGGCACTCCCTGGTGAGCATGGACACAGCACATTCACCAGTCCTGAATCTCAGGGCCGGGGGATAACCGTGGCTACTCTCAGTGGGCTCAGGGATTACCTGATTGGAGATTGACTATGAGGATCTAACATTCAACTTCAGAGATTTCACCCAGCAGGGAAGGGCCTGGGAAACAGGCATCCCTGAAACCAGCAGAGGCAGAAAGCACACCGTCCTGTCCAGAAAATGACGTCACATGCCCACTGCCAGCTGAAACCCAAAGCCCTGAGGGAGAACTATAGCACATTTGGCTTGGAAAGAGGGAGTGGCTGTTTAAAGTGCCTGCATGACAACGTGCATATGAGAGAAAGCGGGAATGGCACGACCAGGAAAAAAGAGTTGGTAGACAGATCATAGCCAAGGCTTGGAAGGAAGACGCACTGGGAGGGAGGAAGAGGGGGAATGGCTCCCACATCCCTGAAACAGACTCACAGGGTTACTATGTGGACAGCACCTAACGCATACCCATGGGGTGGTACACCACCACACCAACAGCCTCACGCAGGCCGCCTGAGTCTGGCTGAGGGTCCCACCCCCATGTGGCCATGCCCAGCAGCAGAGTAACTATTCCCAAGTTCTCCCTTGCAAGAAAACAGAAGCCACTTGACAATTTCTGAATAAATAAGAAGAGTGTTGGTGGAGGCTCTGATTTCTTTTGACTGCTTTCCCCTCTCTCACAGGCTAAGAAGTTTCCATGTTCTTTAATTCTTCCTTAAAAGAAATATTCAGTTCACTAGCCAGATTGAAAGTACAGAACATAACCGAATGATGACTTGCTACGGATTTATAAAAGGTATTCAAGTATCTCAAAATTTGGGGTTGCATTAGATCAGCAACATTCAATTTTTTTCCTAAAATCAAGAAAATAAATTGCACAAATCAATTGCATTGTCTAAATGTGTATGTAAATAAATTTTCTATATGAGATGCACTTATATTGTGTGTATAATTTTTAAATTAGCTGCATCTAAATAATTTTTAAATCCATAAATGTATCATATTCTAAACTCTGAAAAACTTTGACATGCTCTTTTGTAAAACAAAAGAAAAACACATACTTCCTGATACATGGCAGTTAATATAGAACAGAAAAAAATATACAGGAATGAACAAGAATCTTGCTATATGTTGCTTTCAGCTCCTGTTTATACTCCAGTGGAATTGTAGTCTTCTTGCTTGTCACTTGTTGAAAATTATGACTGACAGTATACCTGGGCTTTGGCTTTATAGAATAGAGTAAAAGTTATATGGTTTTTTTGGGGGGAAGTGGGGGGTCAAAATTTTAAAAACAAAAAAGCAGTAGGGAAGGAGGGGAAGTGAGGCTGGGGAGAGGAGGAGAAAGAGAAGGAAGATTATCTTCTTAGAACTGTATCCATGAAGCAGGAGATCTGTTCTTTTTATATTAATAATAAGCTTTTAAAAGAAAGGAAGAGGAACTACCCAGAGCAGGTTGATAACCAGCTGCCCTCAACAGCAGCACTCACAGGGACCTATTCCCTGGCTCTGTGCACCCAAGTCCCCTCCTGGATTCCAGCACTCACATCCTCCTGCAGACCCTCATGGATCAGCAGATTCCAGGAAGGAACACCATCTGAGAAAGCATCAACTCCCGCTTAGGCCACGGCCCTGAACTCCGACTCTCCAGACGAGCTTGACTGCAGAGCTGTGTGCTCTAAGGTACCTCATGGCTACATTAGCAAAGCTGGATTCTAATTTTGATATCCATGAAAATGAAACTGCCCTTCAGACGAGCACAGTAGGGTAAGCAGTAGAGCAGAAAATAAAACATTTCTGAGCCTCGAAGCATAATAATATTGTCACAGCACAGCAATCTCTTCTCGGACTCACAGAGTGACTGGGACATTGTTTCGCCCCACTCGCAGGGCAGGTGCTGTAATCCAGTCTCTTACCGTGTCATTTCACATCTTCCCTTTGAGTCTACCCTATGGTGCCACACCCTTACCTCCATCTTTAACAAGGGTAAATATGCACCTGATCTCCTGAGTTTGTAACACTCAACCATAGACCTCAGTCTTCAAGTTCAAGAACACTACTGTCAGACACAGCCTTGTGTGAGGATGTATACCTGTGCACTTCTGTTAGCCATTAGCACAAGTGGCCAGTGAGCTCCCAAAATGTGGCCAATGCAAGAGACAATTTTTTTTAAATTATTTCAATTCTAATTGAAATAGCTGTATATAGTTCATTGCTACCATGTTCACACCCTTACTCTTAAGAAGGAAATAAGAAAAAAATTTTTTTCTCTACAGGGTTAGGCAGTAAATACTTTAGGATTTGGGTGCCATTCAATCTCATTGGTAACCAGCTAACTTTGCCATAGTAGCATGAAAGGAGCCACAAACAACACATGAATGAGTGTGTATGGTCATGTTTCAACATAACTTTATAAAAATCAGCAGCAGGATCAAATCAGCCTGACAGCCAGAGTTCACCAACCCTGTTTCCAGCTGTCCAATCTCTAAGATGTACCAACACAATCAGATTAATTTACTAAAGTTAAAATTCTCAGACTTATAAGCTACATCCAAACTGATCTTCTACACGCTGATACAGTTCTTTGGGAGTATTTTTCAAAGCTCTATTTGTATACTGAACTACTAGGCTATGCCTTTACTTACAATTTTGTGACTAATGTTCTCAAGCAGTCAACAGTTTTGAAAACTGTCTTGACCTCTTCACTAAAATGTCATTATAAAAAGATTGGCAAGTGTCCACATCCTCAGGCACCTTGCAGTCAATAAGCCTACATTCTGACGATAACATAGGAACTTCCACCTATACTTTAACACGCTGCCTGTAGTCCTTGTATACCCAGTCTACTCCCCCGGGTAGACTTCCCTGGTCCACTCCTTTCAATGGCCAGACTTTCCTTGCTGCCTCAGGACATGGTAGGCAGGCGTGGAGGAGCACATTAGGTTACTCTCAGTAACATCCTCCACTGTACCACCATAACCTGGGATGGATGATGACCAGCGGCATGGCGATCATCACACTGACTCCATCCACACACTCCACCTGGTATATGAGGGACTATGGTGTGATTACTTGCAAATACCTCACTGAAGTGACCAAAAGCTATCTACCTAAAGTCACGCCTCTTGCTTCTGGAGCCAGCTCTACCTTTCTGCACAACTGCTGACATGGGTAGCATTTCCTTGAGAAATTTCGACTTACCACCAGCAAGGAGATATTCTAGTACACAGGCTAATCACAACAGATCTAACAGCGCCACAAAAGTGCAGAGAGAAGTGAAGGAAGGAAGTGCAGCTGAACATCACCATGGCAGCCAGGCCAAGCGCAGGAGCTAGGAGGTCACAGTTCGGTATCCAAAACACACCTGAGCCTCACCTTTACCAGGAGATTATGCAAATGGGACAAAACCATCTGCAAAGCAGAGAACGACACCTGCAAAACCTCAGTAAGCAATGCCTCCCTCTCCTTCCCTTCTAAGTGAGTAGAAATCAGTGACTTCAACAGACCACAAATGTTGCACGAAGAAAACAGAACCAAAACTCTGAATGACAACTTGTATCTAACGATGTTTTTCGATTATGGGAGATTTTAGTAAAATGTAATAAACTACACTTTCACCAAAATTCAAATGACCCCTGTACAACTAGTGAGGAAGTACCTTTGGACAGAGATTTGCAGTTTTTGCCTACTCTGTGGCCTGGCACCCAGTGTGAGCAGGGTGCACAGGAAAACAGCAGAGGGCCCCTCGGGGTGGTTAACACTAGCAGAACCGCACACTGCATCCACTTACTTCGACATGAAGGCGCCACATCTTATTCTGGCATCACTTCCCTCAGGGAATAGTAATTCTGGACTGTAGAGCACATCAACCAGCACTGAAAATTCAGCCTGCATCATCGGACTGAACTGCTGCTCCAAGGAGGCCACCACATCCTGAGAAATGAAACAGGAGACAAAGCGTGTGAGGCTTCATATTTCACCAGCTGAAGAGAAGATGCAACTAACAATGCCAAACAGGAACGAATCTTTAGACATGCCTCCTGCATGTGGCACCAAATGTTCGTGCTTCAAGTATGGCATGCATCTCTGTATGAACCCTGCTGGGTCTCTTGTTTGTTGCTGTTTACTCATGTACAAAATAAAGAAAGGGAGTGGCTAACTGAAATTATTAAGGACAGACATAAGAGAGAAAGCCGACAGAGTCAGCATTCAGGCCCAGCCAAGTCAAGGTTTAAAACAGAGATATGACAAGCTGGAATACATTGTGGGTGTCTTCCAGAGAATAGCTAGAGAAGAAAAAAAATAAATAAATAAAAGACTTCCTGTGTGTCACTGGCCATCCAGAACTTAGTACCATCCAGGAGACCAACAGCACTTAAGAGTTCTACAAATTACAGTTTCTGATAGTCACTGTGGGGTGTGCACCCAACGGCTTTTCTCACTCCCCTTCCTTGTGAGCACAATGCTGGTGTATTTGAATCTGGCCGGAACATTCTCATGGATAAGAGTCAAGGTTGACCAGTTTAAGTCAGGGTTGGTTACTCCACTTTCCCCTGCAACCTCAGGCCTCAGCATGATCATGTGACATCGTCTCAGCCAATGAGAATCAGGGAAGTCTGCAGAGCCAGTGGGATACCTGTTGGGGGTTCAGAGATTCTTTCAGAATCACCTGCTGCTCTCAAGGAGCCTGAACTCCATCTGGGAAGTGAGCTGCCCTCACAGCAAAACCACAAACCTCCAGCTTCAAGGCCCTGGCCCACACAGCTGCCAAGTTCACTAACTCAGAGCACAGCCTTGACTCTGGGGTTTTCCTGCTACAAAACCAGGCAATAAGCTTCACTATTTAAGCCACCTTAGCTAAATCCTGTCTTGGGCAGTGTTGAAAGCACCCTGATGTGTTTTTAAAATAAACCATAGGCGGTGATAATTTCATGCACAGCATTTAATGGTTAGAGCACCCCTTTCATTTTCAAACTATATGAAAAGACAAGGATTAAAAAATAAATAAATAAAACCCTTACTTAAAGAAACAATGCATTCGCCCACAGCAGGGCTGCTCTCTGAGGCTGAGGCTGCCATTGCTGTTATTACTCTCTGTGACAGAAGCAGATGGGAAGCCCAGCCGCTCGATTCCAGGACTGTGGGAGTTGGCTCCCGTCTGACTCTCCCTTTTCAGCAAAAGCAGCCATGTCCATACTTGAACTACTCTACATAAGCTTTCTGAGAAACTTCTGAGAACAGCTGAAGGAGGCAATAGAGAAAAATCACAGAAAGGGCAAAACCTGAAATTACATAAAGAAGGAAAGAGAATATGCCTCACAAACAGCAAGGAAGACAGCTGGCTTTACTTAATAAAACCTGGATAAAAGATTTTTCTCTCTAAATATATAATATACAGATATATATGCACATATAGATGTATATATGTACAGATATATGTGTGTGTATAGTTACATGCAATTTTGAAAAGCTTTTGCAGCAAAAGCACTTCATCTTAATTTTTAAAAAAAATTTCAAATGACACTTTTTAATTTATGTTATAGTCGATGGCTTAACACCTCTCTAAAAGCGAAGTAAAAAGACAATTTAGTTCAGTGAGAATACAGGAAAGGGCTATAAACAATAATGAAATGAAGATGTCTGTTTCACTCACATACAACAAATTTGAAAAGTCAACAGCTCACTAAACCATAGTAGTATATCATTCTTAACAATTCAACAAAAATTCAAAGTAAGTTTGGCAAAACACTACACATTCATGAAAACTGGTAAACAGGCTTTTTTCTGTTTTATTTTATTTTAGCTCCCATCTAGAAGGGAGAACATGTGGCACAGGCCTTTGTAGATTTGGCTTATTTCACTGAACACTGATGTCCCCCACAATTATTTTGATGCAAACGGTAAAATATTCTTCTTAAGTCAAATATTATTCCATGGTGCAAATATGCTACATTTTCTTTATCCATTCATCTGATGGACACTTTGGTTGCTTCTCTATTTTGGCCGTTGTGATCAATGCTGCCTGAAACATGGTGGTGCAGGGAAATCATTAACATCATGGATACATACTCAGAAGTGGGACGCTGGCCTACATGGCAAATCTGTTCCTAGTTTTTTTTTTTTTTTTTAACAGATCTCCATGCTGTTGTCCACAGTGGCTACAATAATTTACACCCTCACCATCATCTATCTGCCCCCGTGCTAATAACTTTTCTGACATGGTAACTGGTTGGGGTAACACACTGCATGGCTTCACTCATTGTTAATTACATCAACATTTCATCATTTATTTCATCATGAGTTAGAATGTGTGTCCCATGAACACACAGAACCTCTGACCCTCTGGCTCTATCTAGACCACTTAACACAGTGGCCAGTATAAAGTGCTCATTGGGTAAGCATGTATCTCATGAGTGTAACCCAGTATAAAGTTCTCATTGGGAAGCATTTATCTCACAAATGCCATCCCTGGACTAGGGGAAGTTTAAGGCACACCCTCCTATACGCTGGCTCATACTCCTTCTTGTGTCACTTCTGACAAGTGTCCCTGCTTGGGCTCTCACCAACCTTTCTTCCCTCCTATCTTATTATCCCTGCAAAAACTACTTCCAAATATGCAAGGTCTTCAAAAAGTTTATAGAAAGTACATATCATGCAGTTGTACATGACTGATACCCTTGTACTGACTTAACTTCTAAGATAGTAAATAGCCTGATAATATAATTGAATGTATTTTTAATGACCTTACTCACTACTCTACTATTGTGTTCACTCCTCCCCTCTTTGTTTATCACCTGGTCTCCACTCACCTCTGGGTGGACAGTGTCATGGCACAGTGGATGAAGATGCCACCCACAACACAGGCATCCCATATGAGCACTGGTTCAAGTCCTATCTGTTCCACTTCTGATTCAGCTGTCTGATAATGCACTTGGGAATGGAGTAGGCGATGGTCCAAGTGCTTTGACCCTTGACTGTAAACAAGAGATCCAAGTGGAGTTCCTAGCCCCTGACTTCAAGCTGTCCCAGCTCCAGCTGTTGTGAATATTTGGGGAATAAACCAAGAACATATCTGTCTGTCTCTGTCTCGCTCTCTCTCTGTAACCGCCTTTGAACTAAAACACAAATCTCAACAACAGCAACAAACTCCCCTCATGCCCTCTATCCCCCTCCATCACAGAGTCTCCAGGCTTGGTGATCCCACACCTTCATATCATTCTGTGTGGCAAGCTGAGTAACTCCTGTATAACTAATCTGCCTTTTCTCTACTATATTCCTGATAATCCTACTCTACCAGCCTCAACAACTACCAGTAACTGCTTATTCACATACAATGATCTTCTCCCCCAAATCATTGATGACTCATATCTCCATATGTTTCACAATGTTTGAGTCTAGCTTATCCTTTTTATCACATTTATTGCAAATTTACATATGACCCTTCCATATTCCCATCTATCCACTGACCATTGTTCAAATCTAGAAAGTTTTTCTCAAGTCATACTGCAACTAACTTCATGAAATCTTATTCTAATAACATGAGTGGGAAGACTTCGTTACGGGTTGAAATGTGACCATATCCCCTCAAACTCCTGTGAAGTTTTACTTCAGTCTTTTCAAATGTGGCTCCAGGGGAAGACAGGACCTTTGAAAACATAGTCAAGATCAATGAGTCCCTGTGGGTGGGCCTTAATCCAACACGGCTGTTGTCCTCTTAAGGAGAGGATGTTAGCACATCACAAGTATGTCCAAGCAGGCAGGAAAGGACTGAGTGGGCTCAGAGAAGACAGCCATTTCCAAGTTGAGGGTTGGTACTGGTACTGCAGAAGAAGCCCACATTTCTGCAACCATGACCTTGCACTAGTTGTTTCAAGAACAGAGAAAAGACCAACTTCTGTTGTTGAGACCATCTGATCTGTGGGAGTCCGTTGGCAGGCAAGCGGACTAGCTCATCTTTCATTACTCAAAGTCTCAGAATGTCCAATGAAAAGTATGAGTGAGACTGCAGGCAAGTCACTCAGTTAAAAAGGCAGACATCTTTTTACAGCATTCTGATCAAAGAATTATAACACCGAAAGATAAACTCAAGCCTGACTACAAACATCTAATTTGTTATCTAAATCTTCATATTAAATTATTTTACCAATTTCATCATTGGCTTTAGTGTAATTTTGATAAGATCCCTGTTCACTATTACACATACCACTGGAACACAGTAAACAATATACATTCATTAAAAGGAATTACAACAACTTTTACCTGAAAGTCATACATTTAATAAGGTAATGATTGGCTTGGTTTTTAGCCTAGCAGTTAAGAAACCGGTGAGCCACTATTGTCTAACACAATATTTTGGTACAATTCCTAGCTCTGGCTCCTGACTCCAGCCTCCAAGTATTTGGGTTCCAGCAATCAACTGGGACATAAATGAATTGCCTTCTTGTGTCCAAGGGTACACCCATTACTCAAAAAGTAATCACTCAAAAAGTGAATCAGTGATTGTGACCTAGTCCTCGCTCTATGTATTTGTGTCTGTGTGTCTGCTTGTCTCGGTCTCCAATTCATAAATAAATAGAGTGGTGGTAGTATAAAGTTGCACAATAAAGCTTGGTGCCACCAAGGATTTGGGTGGCTACAGACTTCAAAAGCTACAGTTCAGAAGAAATGAATGTGATTCCATGCTTTCACTTTACCTGTAACTTTTCAATAATATTTCTGTAGTCCCAGGCAGGCCCTCCTAGGGCTTCCTTGAAGCGTGGTCCAGAGCGAGCGGACAGTCTCCAGCCCAGGGCTGCCCTCTGCACCATATTGGAGTGACTCTTCATGAACAGGGTGTTGACTTGACTGTCCAAATCCACTGGAATGGCAATACCACGATTTTTGGCTGAAAAAGAAAACTGGTTAATGTTTCTTTTATTTGGGAGCCGAGATGCATACTGAGTGCACCACTAAACATTCAAAAACTTATTTGATTTCTTCATGAATCCTTGAAACAAACATCATAGAGCATCAATGCAGGAGAACCAAGCAGATCTGTAATTTCCCAGATGCTAAAACCCACAGGAAGGCAGACAGAAAACACATGAAAAACTCCTGCTAATCCAATCTCTTCATCAGCTTAATCAGGGTGTATGTGTCTCCATATACACAAACTTACTCAAGAAAAGACACATGAGAGTAGTAATGAAAAGCTTAAAACAGCATCAAAAGAATGCACGTAAAGATAACATATACTACAGCCCCTTTGCCCCAAGAGTCACTGAAATTTCTGCATTAATATACCTAACAACTTCCACCATGGCTAGGGTGGGGGAGGGTTTGGGGTTTGCCCAAGCCCAAGGTCCTAGAATTTGCCCCATCCACAGCGACCATGCTGGGGACGGATCTCGGACAGCTCTGGGCATGCTCAGGACCATGGCTCTGCCCACCACCGCCATGTTGTTGGGCAGAGTCCAGTCAAGTCTGAGCAGTGGCATGGATGTCTGGATCCCCACACCACATGGCTGTGGCTGGGGGTACCCACGCCAGCCCAGACATCCTGCTGGGAATCCTAGATCCCCATCAGCCACTGCTAGGCAGGAGGAGGGTCTTGGCCTTGTGAGTGGCCAGACACCAAGCTCTGCCTGCTAGCCTCCCAGCCACGAGCTTTGGAGGATTGGGGGTATGGAATTACTGCCTAGCGACATCCATGGATATGACAACTGTACAAGTAGGTGAGGAATGAATCCTGAGGGACACCCAAAGACAGGGCCACTGTACTTGCAGGTAAGCAAGGGAACTGAGATCCAGTAATTTGGAGGGGAGAGAGCTGAAGATCTTTATGGGTCAGACTGATGCATCAGCCCACATGCAAGTCCCACTGGTTTGTGTGGGGGCCGAGTGTGCAGTGGGCAGGATTGGGATGGACTGCAACACCCATTAGTTTGTGTATTAGACAGGGCTAGAGACAACTGACCCAGCAATTCTGAGTAACAATGTACATAGGCCACTTTGGGCAATGGACTGTACCAGACCCTGTACTGGCATGCACACACAAGAATCAGGTATGTGATCACCTCAAATGAAATTTCTTTGGGAATCCCCCCAACTTGACTCAGAATTCCAACCACAGAGGAAATTTCAGGTCCCATAGTCTGACTGTGGAATGCATGTGTCAGAGCTGGGCTTCCTCAGTGGCTTAGTTAGACGGAGCAGTTAACAGCATATCCAGATGCACATGGAGGATATGGCAGTAGACTGGAGCCTGCAGAGGACACCTGGTACCATAATAGAGGTCAGAACAACTGATCAACTGCCCCAGCAAAGAGTTGGCAGTGAATACCTGGGCAAATGGAGACTCTATGCCAGCCAGTGGAATCTGGAGAGATTTCATCGTGATTGGAATGGCAAGATTGGCAGCAATACAGAACTGTTAAACTATCAAAACCACTTGAGCAGCACCCTCGAGGCATGTCCCACATGGCGGGAGGGGTGGTATGGGGGGGCCCTGGGATGGGTGGGAGGCTGGGTGTGACTTCCCTTATTTCTCCCCTCCCCCAGACACAGAAAGGGGAAAAAAAAAATTTCAAAACAATGGTCTCACCCACATTCTTCTAGCCCTTGACCCTTCACACCCTAATCAAATATGTAAAAATTATCAAAAATAAAATTTATAGAATTTAAAAAATGAAAATGAAAAACAAAGAGACCTAACAACTGTATTGAGAAATGGGAAAGTTTGCCACAAGGAAAATAGAAACATGGAAGCTGTTTTTGGCAAGACAGAATGAAGACAGGATTATCCTGCGATAAAAGGGAAAGAACAAAGTGCCCACAAGAGATTAGAGTTGGAACAGGTCTTCCCAGATGTACAGTGTAAATGGGGAAAAATCAGCGATGTGCAGAATCACTGGGGCAAATCACTGAAGAATCACAGATAAAGAGCTGGGTGGCTCAGGCCCTCCTCTCTGACTAAACAGAGCCACGGGCAGCACCAGAGGAAGGGGAACCGAATCAGAAAAATTACATTTTAGGAAGTGAGAGATATGGATGGATGGATGGATGGATGGATGGATGGGTAGGTGGATGGATGGATGGATGGGTAGGTGGATGGATGGAAGGACGGAGGGATGGATAGACGAAGGGACAGATAGATGGATGGAAGGAAGGTAAGTAGGTAGGTAGGTCACAGAATTTGGCTTGCTCCATGTAACAATTGACTGAAGACCACAGTGTTTCACTGGATAAAATTCCCTCAAACCGAAACTTCGAAAAGCTTCTCTAAAAACATACAATTTTGACCACCAACACAAAAAAAGATACCAGTTTCAACAAGAATCCAAGTTGACATTTTAAGAGAATAATAACTGCTAGCAGGCAAACCATCTGCTTTATCACTGCCCACATCTCCCCAGCGGATACTTTCCTAATGTTTATGGGCAAGTTCCCCTTTCCAAAGCATTCAGTGTCATTGCTTGTGTCCTTCCCATGCAGCAGGACAACTGCACTTCCATCCCATATGAGGGACAGAAGGCTTGGACACTGCCAGAAAGCACATAGTTTCAGAAATGCCTAATTCTGCACCAGGATCAAACCCTGGCAAAGCTTTCACCCTCTTCTGGCTCTTTCCCATGTAAGCTGTGCTCGCTGTAAATATTCAAAAGTCAAACAGAAGACATTGCTTCTTCCACATTATTTTCTAAGTAACAACAACAACAAAAAATTACAAACCTCAACAGCACTCAAAACATGTTACGACCAGGTTCCCACTGCTGCTTAAACAGAGATCATCAGGACTTTTCTCCCTCCTCTTTAAGAATCAGTTACATGTGAACTGCTTGCCAAACCTAACATTGTTTCAGAAAGTTCATGGGAAACAATTTAAAAGTGAGTTTGTGGGGGTGTTATTGTGGTGTAGCACTTAAGCCACCACCTGGGATGTAATCTCCCTTGTGGGCACTGGTTGGACTCCTGCCTGCTCCATTTTCTACCCAGTTCCCTAATGGAATGAATATGATCCCAATACATCTGAGAAAGAAGCAGAAGACGGCCTGAGTGCTTGGGTCCCCGCATCACTGATAAGAGACGTGGATGAAGCTCCTGGATCCTGGCTTTAGCATGCCTCAACCCTAGGCATTGCAAGCACTTGGGGAACAAAACAACACATGGAGAGCTCTTTCTCTCTGTGTCTTTCATTTTCTACTAACTGTGGCTTTCAAAGAAATAAATATATCTTTTTTAAAACCCCACAAGTTTACTTTGGTGTGACACTGTCTTCAAATCCACGCCCAGCTTTTTCATCATAGGCACTTTCTATGAACTTCCTGAATATCTCTTCTATGTATGGGTTTCGGGATTTTTTGCATCAAAATGAACATTTCTCAACTTTGTTTTCCATGAACTTTCTGAAATCCCATCATTAGGCTTTGTTGATGGACATGTGAGTCACATAGAGGTTTACTCAATCAGGACACCTCTATTCTCACACCACAGGGATTCAGTACAAGGAAGTTACCTTTATAAACAACACAGGCCTTCCATTGGTGAGTTCGGGGATGTGTCACCCAGCCTGAGATGCTCCGGTAAGTTGCTGCCACTCCATGTTCTTCTGAACAGCACCATGGACAGGCCAGCCTGAGACCTTCTACCAACCCCAATTGCTTTCAACATTAGTTTGTTTTTCCAAAATTCTAACACTTTGATTCTAGTCTCCTGTGTTAGCATAAACCACACAAATTGGTCACATACAATTTTCCCTTGCCTCAAGCTAAATTCCAGCCAACAGCTAAAGCACAATTTCTAGGCAATAAAAGAAAATTAACTATGCACTTGAGAAAAACAGAATTTGAGATAAAACAGTCCCTGGTAGATAATGAGAAAGCTTTTTCAATCTGTTGTAAAAGACATGAATGTGTGGAAAGGCATGGCCTGAAACGGAGTCACTGTCAAAACAGTATAAATAATAATCTAAAACCAAAATCGACAGTGCTAATTTAGCTTTCCATTGTTTAAAAATAAAAGCAGAAACACAGGGAAAAGGCAATTCTGACTAGGAAAAGAATCATGAGTTCATTTAGAAGGATATTAATAAGTAAGTAACCATTCTATGAGAGGTAATCAAAAACATGATCAAACTCAAGTTACTCTTATTAAGCGAGAGAAAAGACTCCGAGCTCAGTGGTGTGTAGATATGTCACCCGGGACATACACTGGGGACTAATTATGCTTGCGATGACTCACGATTTTCCACCTCTGCCTTTCTCTAAGAAAGAGCTCCTGACTTTACTGCTGAAAGCCCAGCTCCAGGCCTGGAGCACTAACCCAACTGTGGCACTGAACAGACAGGCTCACATTAAACTTTAAAATGTTTAAAAAATAATTGTTGCTATTTTAGTTTTAAGTCACAATGCAACTGAGATACTCTCTGATTAAGGATACACTGTCAGCAGATAAGTGGATGGAATTCTTAAAAAAAAAAAATTAAAGGAGAGAAGATTTGTTATCAATGGGTTTATCTTGAGGAGCTGTGCCTGGCAATAATTAGTCCTCTGAAGTGAGCTGTATTTACATGCAGGTATGTAAATAGGCTAACTTTCTCATTAGGCTTATAAATCCTAAAAATTCTCTGGAAACAACAAGTCTTTGCTACAATTTTAAGATGTAATCAAAATCTATTTCTAATTATTAATCATTACACATTGCATGTTACATATTTTTGATTAGATGAAATTACTGATGATATCTACCAGAACCCAATCTCTGAGAACATATATGGACAGTGATAGGAGCCATAGCAGGAGGGGAGGGGGACGATGCTTAGCTAGATCACTGACAGGCAAGGGAAAAAGGTAACAGATACGTAAGCATTAATTAGCAAACGTGGGTCGTTGTCAGGCACTCCTGTGC